TTTTTCACAGCAATTAGCATAAGACCAAATAAGAAACAGCTGTCTACATTATTTAGCATCCTGCTAGCTGTGGGTTATTCATTTGTCCACATTGCCAAGGATTTTAATGGCATCGACATCGGTGCCAATCACTCACCTCCTTCACCCAACGGTACAGATACTCTTTTACTGCAGATTTTTCCCAAGATATTGTTTATTCAACAATCCAATTATGCATGTATCAAAATATCCAGATGCTTATTGACAGAATCTTTCTAGATAGCAACTAATATACTGACAACCCTATTACTTGATATTACTCTGAGCCACAGGGACAGATCTTGCTGAAGAATACAATATTCAGCCTCTGGACAAAATACTTCAGGGATTTTTCTCCTCTTGCAAACAGAAGACCAAACAAATGAGAAATTAATCTCAAGTATCACCCATGTCAAAGGTGCACCCCACAGCCAAACAATTGGCTTTGAGAAGGGTGCCTCGCCCTCTCCAGATGCATAGCGAATTTCTGTCTCACTGCCTGACAACTAATGACAATCCAACTAACATTTAGTGATTAATTTGCATTAAATAATGCACTGGAGGAAATTATAGCAGGCAGTAGATGAGGAAAGTATGGATTAATTGCACAGGTATTGTGCCAGAGCACTCCACAGCTCACAATCTTTTCCACCAAGAAAACTTTTTTTTTTTTTTTTTTGCTTATAGTGTATCTGTTTTCTACCTGTCCAGTGTTCAACTAAACTGAATCTTATTCCACACTACTGCAACTCTCCGTAACAGCCACTTACAACCTTTGCTGATCCATGAATGACACTCATTAGTGAGCTAAATGCTGTAGGTACTCCCCCTTAATCAATCTGACGAACATGCCTCTACTGAGGATAAATGGGGAATCAAAGGGCCACAAAGATGCTCAGAGGGCTGGAGCATCTCTGCTATGGAAGAAGGCTGAGAGAGCTGGGAATGCTCAGCCTGGAGAAGAGAAGGCTCCAGGGAGCCTTCTGTGGCCTTTCAATACTTAACGGAGTCTTATTTTATACTGTAAGGGTAGTGAGGCTCTGGCACAGGCTGCCCAGAGAAGCTGTGGATGCCCCATCCCTGGAGGTGTTTGAGGCCAGGCTGGATGGGGCTTTGGGCAACCCGGTCTAGTGGGTGGCATCCCTGCCCATGGCAGGGGGTTGGAGATAGATGATCATTAAGGTCCCCTCCAACCCAAGCCATTATGTGAAAGTCACAAAGGGAGCTACAGCCTGGAGTCACTGCTCTTGCCACAGACAGCCCATTCAGCCAGCAACCCTTTACCGCTCCATCCTGAGGTGCTTCTTGCCCTCCTTTTACCAAAGACGCAGGCAGACCTTTCATTTCCTAATTTGACAGGCTTGTGCTGGGAAGGTCAACCTGCCTGGGTGCCGGCCACCCCTTCCCCAGGACCCTCCCAAGCCGTGCTCAGCATCGAGCTGCCCCAGGACGGGCTTCCAGGGGGCCGATTTGGGCCGAGCCGGGCTGCACCCGGCGGCCCCGGGCGCTCCTTGCGCGCCCCCCGGCGGCTTCGCCCCGCTCCTGAGGCGCTGGAGCGCCCCGGACAAGGGGGAAACTTCGGGGAAGGTTTCGTGGCACAGCCTAAATTAAGGCTCCGGCGACGCCGCGGTTCTGTTGTTGTCCGGCAGCGGGCACGAAGCCTCTTCGTGCGGCTCTGGTGGCCCAGCAGCGAGGAAATGTGGCACGGCTGGCATCCACCGCAGCGCTTGGGTCTGTGTTAGGTTTTTCAGAGTGCGCTCTGCTCGTGCTATGTGCGGCTTTTTCTAGGGCACAAATGCCACCTTCAGATTTCCCTGCTCTGCAAATCAGCGCTGCCTAAGGACACCCGCACCAGCGTGGAGAACAGACTCTGAAACCGCAGCTAGAAGGCGACTGTGCAGCCCGCAGTGTTTGTGGGAAGAAGTGGCAAGCAGAAGCAAATTAACACAATGTTGTTTTCTTACTTTGTGGGAGACGCACAAACCACAATTGGCTCACTACTCGGAGAGAGCCTTGGGGGCTTTGCCTGCCCAAACCTGAGCCTAGGTGGAATAAATGCGCCCACTGCCAACAGCCAGCGTCCACTGCTGTTGTTCACACGCGTGCACTCGCACTAGCAAAGGGCACTTCAGTTCCAGGCACAGACACCAGCCCAGCTGCTCAGAGCAACATGCCTTGCTCAGGTTTTCCTGTCAAGAACCTTTGTATTAATAAATAAATAAAAGTTCAACTATTTAGCTACTTTTTTGACCATGTGTTACAGTTTTCAGGTACAAAAATGCGGTTACCATTTTGACAGCTATCCCAGCCCAGCTCTTCGCAGGCACGTATTCTTCCTCAAAACTTTCTGCTTGCTTAAAGTCACCTTACCGATGAAGTACGCTACAGTAGATGATGTTAGATTGTAGTTTGGATACTTCTGCGAAGTGTTGCTGACTAATGGTTGCATCGGGAACCATACTGCTGACCACGGGGTATCTCACCCTCAGATTCCCCACCCTAACAATCCATTAACAGAGTGCTGTTTCCTCACTGAGGCTACCAGGTCATTTTAAAACATTCAAATAGCAAAGGTAGGAAGAGGGAAGCACCACAATAAAATATTGCTGCCCACCACACATCATGTGTATGCAAAGACACAGAAAGCCACACAGCTGAAAAATATTTTAACTTTGAACATTCCCAACCAAACACTGGACGCAAGAACTAGCAATGCCTCTCTCAAAGCATAGTTCAAACAATTTATAGCAATGAAGGCAGACAGCATAGGTAGGATTGCCAGGCTAGAGCTTTTACTATCTGGCTTCAACTTTTTGCTCTTTCAGGCTTCCCAAGTGACTCAGGGAGGCACTTACTCTCTCTGCATCCATGGCACTTTCCTATCCCACCCCTGTGAAGATAAACCAGCAATTGTGATCCATCAGTGATGGCTGCTACATAATGCCTTCTGTAAAACAGCCTCAGACACATAGCACCTCACCATTAGCTTGTCTGTGTATCAGGAGCTCTGAGCTTTGGCATGCTGCTAAGAAGAGAATTGGCCCCATTGAGTTGATGCTTGAGGTACAAATATCAAGTTCTTATCCATAAAATGAGCTCACCATAACTCCCCTCACTGCAGTATTTTAAACTGGGGTACGCTTAAGCACGCTACTCCAGGAAAATCTCTCCCCAAAGTTAGGCTTTATAGCTCAGCTAATCAAACTATTAGTGTTCTTCACATGCACATTAAGAATCTCTGTTGATTTTTTTAAAACAGTTTTCTTGAACACTTAACTCCTGTGACATTTTTTCCTCTTAAGGTTTCAGCCCAGAAAAGCTCTTAAGAGTAAGTTTATGGAAAAAAAAAAAAAACACTAAGGTGTGCACTTCAGGATATCAGGTATCCAAGTCTCCAGTGAGGCCATGAGGTTAGCAATCCCCAAATGTCTATCTACAGACACTGAATTTTTATGTGTATATTCTTACCAGATGGAGGTCTCATTGTGGGAATATCATCACCTTAAGCACCAGAGCTAACAGTTACACCGCTATGCCCTACTTCAGAAACACTACCTGTTTTTTTGTATCCAAACCCAACTGCCCCAAACATAGCAAATACACCTGCCTCAGAGGGGTTTTAAGGCTGTTTTAAGGTTTTAAGAAACTTTCCAGTAACTTGCATTTGAGCTCCACACAACGCAGCACAGCGCCTGTTTCTCACTCAAGGAACCAGTCAGACTCTCACAACCTGAAATCCTGAGGACCTCAGAATGAACTGGAGAAATGCCATCCCAAAAGAGCTTTCTCATCCTAAAGCAGTTATAGCACAAAGAGCACTCCTCACCCTCCAGTCTGGTCCTACGTTGCTACTACTTTAAGTAACAAGAAAGTTTCTGTTTTATTTTACTTTCTTCCACACCCTAACAAATGCATTTTTACAGCAACACTTGCAGCAACAACAACAACAGAGTTCCACGAGCAACTGACGGGAGTCCCTATATCTGCTTACTGTGAAGTATTTTAGGAACACAGAAAAAATAGAAGAGCAATAACTGAATAGTCAGCTCACACGTGAGGAAACCGGTAACCAGCAAGCTTTTCTGTGAGCAGCGCTCTGCTTTCTGCAATATTTCTGTATAACACAAGAAAGCAAGCTCCTCAGGGGTGAGGCTGACGGAGTACATGTGCCTGTACTTATCTTATTACAGAAAGGTCCCTGCTTCTTGGCGAGGGCTTCTGAGGCACAGCTGCAACACAATCAGGGAATAAAATGTCTTCGGGATAAAAAGAGTGGGCTTTACTGCTATGAAAACACACTGAGAATTTCTGAATTTCAGCGTGATCAAAGACTGTCAAGGGGCTGTCTCCTGGAAGCGAGGCACCTGAAGTAACGGGACTTCACGGCACTTGGCTGGACCAGCGATGAGGAGACCCAGGCGCCAAGTTACCTAACGGAGCGCAGGCTGCGCGCCGCCAGCACATTGTGTAACAAACCTCAGGACAATTTCACAGGTCCCCATCAGGCAAAACTCCCCGCTGGTTCCCACGAAGCAGCTCTAAGCGGTCAGCAGCAGCAAGAAAACCTTGCCTCGAAACGAAAAGGTTTATCCCGAGCACACGAGATCACCAGAACTGGGGAAACCCCAAACTCTCGCTTTAATGACCCCGGGAATTTGTCCCGTGTTTAATCTACCAACCACGGACATCAAGGTAGAACAAACCAAAAAAAAAAAAAAAAAAAGGAATAAAACAGTTTCTCAAACAACCGCCCGCGACCTTTAACGCCACAACCCCACGGCAGCCTGTAACGGTCGGGAGAAGGGCGACGGCTCCCTCAGCGCCCCGGGCTCGCTCAGCTCGGGGGTGGCTCCCCCAAGTTTCGGGGCTGCCCCGACGGTTCCCCCTCACCCCAAACCCCCGCCATGTGCCGTTACCAACGGGAGCCCCCTCCTCTGCCCTCCCGCCCGCCAACTTCCCTCAGGGGCGCCGCCCGCCCCTACCTGCCCGCCTGCCTCCGTCCCGGCCCCGCTGCCCGTCAGCGGCTGGCGGCAGGGCAGGAGCGCTGTCCCTCCGCCGGGGCGAGCCCCATGTGAAGAGGAGCGAGGGAGCCCGGCGGCTCCACCGCTGAGGGGAGGGATGGAGGGGATGGGCGGAGGGACGGAGGAGGCGGGCGGCAGCTCCCTCCCTCTCTCTCTCTCTCTTTCTCCCCCCCCCACCCCTCAGCTCGGAGCCGCCCCGGCCCCGGCTGAGCCCGCGGCAGCGCCGCCTGGGGGCTGAGGCGGGCACGGAGCCGCCCGGCGCTGCCTCAGGGGCTGGGAGCACCTCAAGGCCGGGGGTTATCGCCACAGAGCCTCCTGATTTGGGTTAAGCATGAGGTTAAACACACGCTGTCACCGCATCCACATGTCACGGCGAGCACTGCGAGTGCAGCAGAGCCCGCAGGCTGAGGGAGGAGCAGCACCGGCTTCCTCAGTCGTTGAGGCACCCCTAGTCTCTGTGGGCACCCAAGGGAGAAGAAGGGAAAGCATTGCCCCAGCAAAGCAGAAAATAGTTCCTGCGGTTAAAACACACCACTGGGACAGGGATAAAATGAGTCACTCTTTGACTTTGCCCACCCATGGTGGCCACTCAGCTCTCAACCAACCGAGCAGCTGTGGTGATGCCAACTTGTGCCATGGCTCCCCATCCGTATAATCTCATTTCTCTTCCCTATCTCACAAGATTTTGATGAAGATAAATTCAGAGGCCTCTCCCGGGCACACGTATGTGACAGTGACAGAACTCCTCTAGCATATGCACCGAGAGAGAGATGCCGCAGCCGCATCCTGCCCTCCCCTGAGCAGGCATAAAGATGTATACATACAACATTTGTGAAATGAAGATTTATCTAGTGATGCAAATAGTCACGGAAAGGAAAGGACCTCAAAACAACGACAAATCATTCCTATGCCATGAATTTAATGTCAGGTGCTTGCTGAGCTGGCAAATCCTGGAATGCTGCCCCTGAGCACTGAGAAGTGTGAAACTGAGAGCAGGCAAACGCATTCTCTGGCCCAAACCAGAAATATCACGACTCTTCCATATTAAAAACCACTTGTAGTGTAGCTGAAACACCCCGCTAGGAAAACCTGGCCCTCCAATAAGAGATTTTAACATAATACTGCCAGCACCAAAACCACATATTAGAAATATATATCGTAAACTTGATTTTTTTCCTCCATGCAGTTGAAGCATAAATTAACAACAGCATTTTACTGAGCATATCGTGCAAAAAATATTGCTTATCAGTAATCTGTTCACAGCACTAAAATCAAAGATCAAATATTGTATCTATCCACCCACAGAACTAAACTTAATTTACTTTAATAGAGCAGTGAGTTTTATGTAAAACTCATCTAAGTAAAAATTGTCATCTTACTCAGTATGATTTCCCTTGTAACAAAGAAGAGGTGAGTAGAAAAGTATTTTTGTAGAAGTAAAGCTGTGATTTTAGAATACCTAGTGCATATAGCCTAACCCCAAAACTGATCAAGTTCTCCAGAAAGCCAAGGTTTCCCTCAGGTTTACTTGGCTCTCAAAAATCTGTTAGTTTGATAACAGCAGAACCACACTGCCCTGTGCTGAAGTACTGCTGGAAGAGAAGGAAAGCACCGAGACTTATTGGTGAAGCCTCAAGAGGAACTCCCTGCATAGCTCCAGGGACAGGTTTGTGCAGTCCCCAGGGCAGCTGTTGGGCAAGGCTGCTTGCTTTCCAGGCTCTGCATGCTGTGTACTGGCTGGGAGCTGCAACAGCAGGCTGCAGCTGCTTCTTGGGAGCAGGACACAGCCTCCCTGCACACCAGGATGCTGGACAGTCAGCTCAGCACCGTGGAAAACAGTCAGAAACCCAGCACGTCCTATGGAAGTGGTTTTGGCAAGATTTTCACAAAATGTATTTGCTGTACAGATGTAGACTGGAGTCTACCACCTGAGAAACTGTGAGAGGAGGGAGCAGGATCCAATCCCAATCTGCACTTAGTGTTCACCCTGACTCAGCTAAGAATGAGATTTCTGCTCTCTATCTTCTGCTCCAGCACTCAAATCATATTTCCCATTCTCAGGCATGGAAATAACAAGAGCACTGGATGTCACCCTGTAGTTATGTGCCCACGCAGCTACGTGCCTTGACATTTCCTCTGCTCGCTAATATTACCTGCTAGTGTTGCTAGAGCACCCTTAATGGGACAGAGAGCTGCTGCAAATCAGGGCAAGAACTGCTACAAGTACCTGCTTCTTCCTGTGGGTGGCATCAGAATATCTTCAGTAGACCAAAACTGGTTTATAAAAAGAGGAGAGGAATGATGTTCCTGTTTGCCAACAGCAAGCATCATTGCAGTGCAAGTGCTGCTTCTGCTAAGCTCACATAAACCAATAGATGTTTAATTTAAACAGGAGATTTAGAGCAGATGGAATCACTCTCTCTCCATCAGTCCTTAGTTCTGACAAAGGAAGATCTATCCCAACTTGTGCCCATGCCCTATACAAGTTGCAGTTACCACAAAAAGAGGATACAAATCTACAATTAAACCTCCTTGCACCTACAGCTTCAGCAAAATCTAAACTTTATCATCACCAGTAGTTCCATATCCATTTATACAGGTTCACCAGTAACAAACTGATGAACTCAAGTGAATCAGCACAGTTGTTCAACAGGACACAGACGTGTAAGTGCAAGCCAGGGAGGGTTACAGAGGCAACAAATGTAAGGAGCTTTCAGAAGGCCCCCACTCATAACCAGAGCAGGGCTGTTCCCTGTTTTTACACTGTCACATTACAACTGTCATGCTCATTTCTGATAGCTGTGCAGATCAGCAATGACCTTATCACACTGAGCCAAGTCAGCCCACACTCCAAGCCAACGCATGCTCTCAAACATACAAGCACTGGTGTCTAGTGTCTAAAGCCACAAGGCTCTAACTGCTGAGCAAATGGTTGCCTTACTTACCTGTGGAGTTTTATTTAGCCCATACTCCTTAAGAAGATGGTATATGAGACTACAAAGCATGTTATCATGTTCAATTTAAAATACTTGAGTGAGAATTTGAGAATGACTTGCGCTGTTCAGTTGCCCATGTTATGAGGCTGCACAGCCTGAGCCCGTAACCACTCCATAGCTTGATCCACTTAGCCCTGCAGCCATACCACCTGCAAACAGGGGAAAATAAAAACTTCAAAAGCACATCAGGAAAGTTTTCTTTTATATTCTTTTTGCTGCTTTAAAAGCTTTTAAATTGATAGAAGTTGGTGTCAGTTGCCTTTGCAGGCATTCACACCTGACTTCTACCAGACTTTCACCAGATTCCACTTAGGAACTTCGCTGACACAATTGCTTGCAAAAAGCCTGGATTAATCACATTGAGCATTTGGTCTCCAATCTCCCAAATGATTAGCGAGGGGGAACCTTTTGTTTTAAAGCTTAGGTATGTGGAAAAAGGCTGAGGTTCAAACAGTGCTAATCATCCGCTTTCTGAAAACCAGGGTCTTTTTAAGGTGTTTCCAGGACTAGAAGTCACATATACTGCCCTAACACTCAGCTTTGACCTGCACTGATCCAGGGACAACTCCAGTTCTCTATTAGATTTAATTTTTTAATGAGGTCACTACAAAAAAAAAAATAATAAAAAATATATATATATATATATATATATTTCTCCTGAAATTTAGGGTTAAATTTAGAGTTATGAATCTCTACATACAACAGTCAACCTGAGCAGGTGGCACATAGATACTTTTTTCTTGTTTACAATGGTGCTGTTCTTAATTTTGCATGTGGTCCTTATGTACATTGTAGATAGGCACAATAGATACACATTGGCAGCTCTGACAGCATCCAGAAAGGAACTGATCTCCCAGTCCAGGAAATTATCCTAGACCTCTCATAGTTTTGGCAGCAGAATTTTAACCAGCAGTTCCCAATGTGCTCTGCCAGAACATTGCATTCACAGGACTTGGAGTTACTGAACGTATTAGAGAAAATTAAAACAAGAGAATCATTAAAAAAGCACAAAAAAGAAAAAAAAAAAAAAAAAAAACTGGGGCTACATCTGTAACTTTGAATCCTAGTGGTTATACAAATCAACTAGGCGTTCTTATGATGCACGACAGCATCTGAACCCTTACAGAGGATAACCTTGACATTCAGTACTGCCTTGTTACTCATCTTCTGTACAAATGTTTCACTGACTTCTGAAAGCTGAGCTTCCCTTGCAGGTAAAGACAGCAAATGTGCCCTCAATTCCCACAGCCTACCCATGCATTGTTAAAGGACACGTCTAAAGTTTTATTTCCAGTGTCAAAGAAAGTCTGTGTTTTTACTGTGAGGTAGTTCAAAGTCATCAGATTCCATTTCCATTCATCACTCCAAACTGTTAAAGAACACTGCCAGTTTTACCCTAGTTAGAGCAGGCCAATTCATTCATGAGTAGGAACGCAGTGCTTTTCACTCAAATCCCTCGTATCAAAGATGTATTGTACTTGTCTCCACCAGAATTGATAGAAAACTTCACAACTATATACTTTTCCATTAGAAAAATACTACTTTTTCCCTGAAACAAAACTTTTCAAGTACTGTATATATGACAGTATAAATGGGGAGGAGATGTTTTTCATGGCTTGGAAAGACTCATACCAAAAAGTGACTATTTCAGGTTTTTATTTTTTTTTTAATTTTGTTTTAAATTTCATTGCCTATTGCATTATCATATACAGTTAAAAAAACAAACAAAAAAGAAATAAACTTGGAAAACAAAGGAAAGCCTTTTGATATTTTGTAAGTACGTTTGTTTAATTTATCTGAATAATTTTTATTTCCAACATTTTACTTCCAAGATAGGTGAAAACAAGGCTGAAGTTTCCCATGGAAATGCTAGTTTTGTTTGTTGATGTAAGTTTACATGCATTAATAATCCTGGAGTAAAAGCCCTCACTGTTTTGCAGTGAAGAGCACTTTCTTCTGGATTCTCTCTACAAATTTCACAATGAAACCCACAGCAAAGATGCTCTGTGCATTTGACATGCTTTTATCACTCATTTGTAGCAATACTCAGCCGACAACAATACTTGAATCCTCTTGCTTTTTCAGATCCTGATTTCAAAACAAAGTGTTTTCATATGAGCATCTTGGCTTTGATCCCTAAT